GGTCTAGTAGTCCAGTCCAGGGTCTAGTAGTCCAGTCCAGGGTCTAGTAGTCCAGTCCAGGGTCTAGTAGTCCAGTCCAGGGTCTAGTAGTCCAGGGTCTAGAAGTCCAGTCCAGGGTCAAGTAGTCCAGTCCAGGGTCTAGAGTCCAGTCCAGGGTCTAGTAGTCCAGTCCAGGGTCTAGTAGTCCAGTCCAGGGTCTAGTAGTCCAGTGTCTAGAAGTACAGTCCTTGGTCTAGTAGTCCAGTCCAGGGTCTAGTAGTCCAGTCCAGGGTCTATGAGTCCACTCCAGGGTCTAGAAGTCCAGACCAGGGTCTAGAAGTCCAGTCTAGGATCTAATAGTCCAGTCCAGGGTCTATTAGTCCAGTCCAGGGTCTAGTAGTCCAGTCCAGGGTCTAGTAGTCCAGTCCAGGGTCTATTAGTCCAGTCCAGGGTCTAGTAGTCCAGTCCAGGGTCTAGTAGTCCAGTCCAGGGTCTATTAGTCCAGTCCAGGGTCTAGTAGTCCAGTCCAGGGTCTAGCAGTCCAGTCCAGGGTCTATGAGTCCACTCCAGGGTCAATAAGTCCAGACCAGGGTCTAGAAGTCCAGTCCAAGATCTAACAGTCCAGTCCAGGGTATATATATATAGTCCAGTCCAGGGTCTAGTAGTCCAGTCCAGGGTCTAGTAGCCAGTCCAGGGTCTAGTAGTCCAGTCCAGGGTATAGTAGTCCAGTCCAGGGTCTAGTGTCCAGTCCAGGATCTAGTAGTCCAATCCAGGGTCTAGAAGTCCAGTCCAGGGTCTATGACAGAATGTCATTTTCTGCTTTTGTTTGTTTGAGACAAAATTCTGTTGGCCTCAAAGACAGAATTTGTTGTATGTTAGGTGTTAGATTGAATTTACTGTTGCATTATGGGTATAATGGGTTTGTACAACTGCCTAATCTCATTCTGGTATCAGCCTTGCAGCCAGACTTGACAGTATATCACTCCTATCAAACCACTCAATTTTCTGTGTTTAAGACAACATTCTATTGGCCTCAAATTTATAAAAGACAGAATCTCCTACACAACATATCTTATCACAGATCAACCCTGACAATATATCACTCCTGTATCTCACTACTCCTACATAATCTTATCAAAGATCAACCCTGACAGTATATCACTCCTGTATCTCAGACCTCCTACATGTCTTCTCACAGATCAACCCTGACAGTATATGTGACCGACCGGCTCGATTTGGTCTAATGTAGCAAAATTTGAAATGGTGTTTTTTACATTGGATAAAAGTAGAGACTCAGAGCTAGAAAATGTTATATCATACACTACAGTTGAGGAAAAATGAGAAAGTAATTCTGCTTTGAAAGTTGATCAACTTTAACCTCACTTTTGAGAAAATGACCTTTGAATGTTTTGGTACACCCACTGGAGAGCTCTTCTTTGTCTACACCCATTCAGCATCGTTCACACCCTCTTAACCTATAGCCTCGCCTGTAAACTCAGGGCGTTGTCAGATTGTCCTTTCGTAAATTCAGAGCATTTCACTCTCGGAGCGTTCAGAGTGCACACTGGACGCTCTGGCAGAGGAGTAGGGTTGATCCGAGTGTTCTGACCTCACAACGGCAGTCAATCACCCAAGCTAACTGGCTAATGTTGGCTAGCTTGCTAGCTACTTCCAGACACAAATGAGAGAACATCTCACTCTGACCATTTTACTCGCCCTAGCAGAGCTGGTTAGGCTGTTTTTATGTTATCCAGAGCATTGGTGACTACAACTGTGCTGCTGGCAACAATTTAATTACACTTTTTTGCCAACGTTTACTGACACTGGCCGTATTCAACGGGTGTTGAGCATTCGTAAATGTGTCAGTTATTTTGCGCTCTGGCACACTCAGATGAGAGTGCTCTGAAATTGGAGTAGATAGCCAGAGCGAATTTACCAGCTATGTCTAGCAACAGTTGTCGCAGTGACATCATGAACATTCTATTGAAATGGTTACTTGCATAGTGGAGTCTTTTGTTAAGAAATGTAGCTAGCTAGCTAGCTAAACAATGAACCATAATCCCAACTCATAACGTTACTACCCTGCATGAATCTGCAGGTAGCTAACCAACCAGGTTCAATGATAGCTAGCTAACATTAGGCTATAACTAGCAAAGCAAATGGCTCTGAGATACAAATAATATTACTACACAGATCATACACGTAATGTTAGCTAGCGAGCCAGCGAGCTAACGTTAGCTAGCTAGCTAACAGTAACTTGAAATGAAAACGACTTTCTGACACTATATAAACGTGTAATATCTGGAAATGTAGCTAGCTAGACTATCTTACCCGTATACATGGATGGACGCTTCTCCCTCTCTGTCACGGATGCCATGGTTGCCCTTAGTATGAAGGTGTAATCCGGAGACAGGTGTTTTCTCCATCTCCTTAGCTATCATACTCTAATTCCACTGATTTCAAAGCTCGATCTCTCAGCATGTCCAGCCCACACATTATCTCAGCCAATCATGGTTTGCGGGAAGGTTGCTGTCTTTTTCTGTGGCTAAACCAACTAGGCTCGTCATTTATTTTATTTTTTTTTTTTATTTACAGATGGCATACAAGTTTGTTATTAAGGCACATGAAAGTTCACATGTTCCAGAAGGCATTTCTGCCCAATAAAATATTTTGAATTTAAAAAAAGGTTTACGTTCAAATGGCTCTCCTGTGAAGTAGTGACACGCGACATACGCCTAGTTTCCTGAAACGAGTCACATATCACTCCTGTATCTAACTACTCCTACATATCTTATCACAGATCAACCCAGACAGTATATCACTCCTGTATCTAACTACTCCTACATATCTTATCACAGATCAACCCAGACAGTATATCACTCCTGTATCTAACTACTCCTACATATCTTATCACAGATCAACCCAGACAGTATATCACTCCTGTATCTAACTACTCCTACATATCTTATCACAGATCAACCCTGACAGTATATCACTCCTGTATCTAACTACTCCTACATATCTTAGCTCAGATGAGTGTAAGTCAAGCACATCTTCATGAGCAGATTTCCACCAGGTTTCATCTGATCAGCAGTAGCTGTGATGTTAGATAAGAGCCATCGTCAGGTCCTGAGGGGGGAGAGAGCGAGAGGAGGAAGAGAGAGAGAGAGAGAGAGAGGAGGAGGGGGAGGGGGAAGGTGAGAAAGAGAGGGGAAGAGAGAGGGAGAAATAGAGAGACAGTTGTATTCTGATTGAGCTCTCTCTCTCTCTCTCTGGTTCTTTCCACTGCTAGAGAGGGAGGGAGAGGAGGAGAGAGGGAGGGAGAGGAGGAGGGAGGGAGGGAGAGGAGGAGGGAGGGAGGGAGAGGAGGAGAGAGGGAGGGAGAGGAGGAGAGAGGGAGGGAGAGGAGGAGGGAGGGGGAGGGAGGAGGAAGCGAGGAGTTCGAGGAGTGGCAGGAGGTAGGAGATGAGGAGGGAGAGGAGGAGAGAGGGCTTGTCATGTCTTGTCTTGTCTGGCATGTTGGCATGACGATTCAGCAGCACCCTTTTCTTCTCCTCTCCCTTTCCCCTGCTCTCACTGTGCTGCTGTGTGTGTGTGTCTGTGTGTGTGTCTGTGTATGTGTCTGTGTGTGTGTGTGTGTGTGTCTGTGTGTGTGTGTGTGTCTGTGTGTGACCAGATTGTTATTTCCCAGGTGTGCCTTAAAAGAGCACACCCCTGAAGGTAGGTATGGGAGGAAAATAACATTGGTTTCCATGGTAACTTCTGGCCCTACCTCACCCTCCCTCTATGGTTACTTTGAGATTCTTTGATTTGAAGAAAATAATACTGATGGGGGTGTTTTGAGACACAATGCAGCAGAAAAAGATGAGAGGATAGGAGAGAGGGAGGGGCTAGATGAGAGGGAGGGAGAGAGGGAGGGGCTAGATGAGAGGGAGGAGCAAGATGAGAGGGAGGAGAGGGAGGGGCTAGATGAGAGGGGAGGGGCAATGAGAGGAGGAGAGAGAGGGAGGGGCTAGATGAGAGGGAGGGCTAGATGAGAGGGGAGGAGATAGGAGAGGAGGGGCTAGATGAGAGGGAGGAGAGAGGAGGGCTAGATGAGAGGGAGGAGCAGTGAGAGGGAGGGAGGGGCTAGATGAGAGGGATGGCAGATGAGAGGGAGGAGAGGGAGGGGCTAGATAGAGGAGGGCAGAGAGAGGAGGGCTAGATGAGAGGGAGGAGAGGGAGGGGCTTAGGAGAGGGAGAGAGGGAGGGGCAGATGAGAGGGAGGAGCAGATGAGAGTGAGAGAGGAGGGGCTAGATGAGAGGGAGGGGCTAGATGAGAGGGAGGGGCTAGATGAGAGGGAGGAGAGGGAGGGGCTAGATGAGAGGGAGGAGAGGGAGGGGCTAGATGAGAGGAGAGAGGGAGGGGCTAGATGAGAGTGAGGAGAGGGGCTAGATGAGAGGGAGGGGCTAGATGAGAGGGAGGAGAGGGATGGGGCTAGATGAGGGAGGGGCTAGATGAGAGGGAGGAGAGAGGGAGGGGCTAGATGAGAGGGAGGAGAGGAGGGGCTAGATGAGAGAGGAGAGGGGATGCATGAGATGAGGGTAGATGGAGGGAGGAGAGCGGAGGAGTGAGATGGAGAAGGGATGGAGTAGTGAGAGTGGAGGAGAGAGGAGGAGGGGTATGAGAGGGAGGAGAGGAAGGGGTAGATGAGAGTGGAGCGGAGAGGGAGGCTAGTGACGAGGCGAGGGAGGAGCGGGGAGTGAGAGTAGGAGAAGAGATGGCGGAGGAGTGCAGAGTAGGAGAAGGAGATGGGGAGGAGTGGAGAGTAGGAGAAGGGATGAGGACGGAGTGAGAGTAGGAAGGAAGGAGGATGGAGGAGGAGTGAGAGTAGGAGAAGGAGATGGAGGAGGAGTGAGAGTAGGAGAAGGAGATGGAGGAGGAGTGAGAGTAGGAGAAGGAGATGGAGGAGGAGTGAGAGTAGGAGAAGGAGATGGAGGAGGAGTGAGTGGGAGACGAGGAGGAAGGAGTGCGAGAACGGATGAGGAGGAGTCGAGAGTGGAGAGGAGAGTGCCGTGAGCAGGAGGTAGGAGAACGGAGATGGAGGAGGAGGTGAGAGTAGGGCACGGAGATGGAGGAGGCAGTGAGAGTAGGAGAAGAGATGGAGGAGGAGTGAGAGTAGAAAGAGATGGAGGCAGGGTGGGTGGACGGAGACTGCTAAACTTTGGGAATACAGGATGAAGCCTACATGTGAACTCAACTTCTGATCTCTCTACTCTCTCTCTCTCTCTCTCTCTCTCTCTCTCTCTCTCTGTATCTCTCTCTCTGTATCTCTCTCTCTGTATCTCTTTCTCTATCAAATCAATGGGGCTTTATTGCCAAAGCAAGGGAAAAATACTAAAGTGAGAAGAAAACAAAAACACATGAACAGTAAACATGAAAACATGAACAGTAAACATTACACTCACAAAGGTTTCAAAACATAAAGACATCTCAATTGGTACATTATCTGCTAAGTACAGTGTTGTAACAATGTGCAAATAGTTGTGTACGAATAGAAGGGGAAGATAAGTATTTACAATGTTTGTTCTTCACTGGTTGCCCTGTTCTCATGGCAACAGGTCACAAATCTTGCTGCGGTGATTGCACACTTGTATTTCACATAACAGATATGGGAGTTTATCAATGTTTGAAACTCTTTGTGGGTCTGTGTGATCTGTGGGAAATATGTGTCTCTAATATGGTCTCTCTCTCTCTCTCTCTCTCTCTCTCTCTCTCTCTCTCTCTCACTCTCTCTCTCGCTGTCTCTCTCTCTCGCTGTCTCTCTCTCTCTCTCTCTCTCTCTCTCTCACTCTCTCTCTCGCTGTCTCTCTCTCTCGCTGTCTCTCTCTCTCGCTGTCTCTCTCTCTCTCTCTCTCTCTCTCTCTCTCTCTCTCTCTCTCGCTGTCTCTCTCTCTCGCTGTCTCTCTCTCTTGCTGTCCACAGAGTACAGAGCAGGTGACTGCATTCTGCCGGAGTCTCCATGAGATGAATCCTTCCGTTGTTCCTCCTCCGTCTTCCTCCTCCCTCTCTCCCAGCCCGTCGATGCCCCTGCCACCGGCGGCGGGCACTGCCATCCAGCGACAGCTGTCACACGCTGACAAACTACGCAAAGTCATCAGTGAACTGGTGGAGACTGAGAAGACATACGTTAAAGTTAGTAGAGAGAGTGTGTGTGTTGGGTGGGTGTGTGTGTGGTGGGGAAACTCCTAGTTTCTAAGCTACACAAACATGGATCAATGCATACACCAACACAGTCACAACAGAACACTCACAACACACAACACAGTCACAACACAACAGTCACAACACAGTCACAACACAGTCACAACACAGTCACAACAGAACACTCACAACACACAACACACAACACAGTCACAACACAACACACAACACAGTCACAACACACAACACAGTCACAATACACAACACAGTCACAATACACAACACAGTCACAACACAACACAGTCACAACACAACACACAACACAGTCACAACACAACACAGTCACAACACAACACACAACACAGTCACAATACACAACACAGTCACAACACAACACAGTCACAATACACAACACAGTCACAACACAACACAGTCACAATACACAACAGTCACATCATAGTCACAACACACAACACAGTCACAATAAAGTCACAACACACAACACAGTCACAACACATTATGCACCCAAACCAAAACACACACACACTAAACCCTGTCTCCTCTCCCCTGCAGGACCTGAACTGTCTGATAGAGCGCTACCTGACCCCTCTGCAGAAGGAGAGCTTCCTCACCCAGGATGAGGTAGGGTCAGAGGGCAAAGGTCAAAGGTCAACTCATAGACATCCTGCATGCTACTGGGTTATCATAACCGTAGATCAGGTGGTATTCATTATGGCGCACCGTAGCAAAATGTAGCAAACCTATTGGACAAGTTCCCGCTTGGAATAAAGATCACAATCAAATCAAATGTTATTTGTCACATACACGTGTTTAGCAGATGTTATTGCGGGTGTAGCGAAACGCTTGTTGCTGGTTATAAGATAGTGATCACATGTGGACCGGTGGAATAAAGATCTCCATGTTGCTGGTTATAAGATATATGTAGATACTTCTTTGGATATGTTGACATCACAATATCTTCAATCCCCAATGTGCAAAGAAAGCTCGTTAACGGTTGCTATGCTATCTCTTCCAGCTAGATGTCCTGTTTGGTAACCTAGGAGAGATGCTGGAGTTCCAGGTTGAGTTCCTGAAGACTCTAGAAGATGGGACCAGACTGGTAGCTGACCTAGACAGGCTGGAGAGAGTAGAACAGTTTAAGGTACAATCACATTTTCCCATAAGGCCTTTGGTCTAAAGTTGTGCACTATGTAGGGAACAGGACGCCATTTAGGACGCGAAAAAAAAACAGATTGCCTCACTACTTTGAATCCTATTGATAACGTGTGTTGTATAACCTGCCTATCTAAGGGAAATATAAAAGATGGCTTTCCTCTCTAGATTTCGTATTATTTTAGAGTAAATGGGATTTCGTACTCTACATACTCCTTTCTCCAGAAAGTGCTGTTCTCTCTGGGTGGATCGTTCCTGTACTACGCTGACCGCTTTAAGATCTACAGTGCTTTCTGTGCCAGCCACACCAAGGTCCCCAAGGTCCTGGCCAAAGGTACAATACATAGTCAACTGTATTATATATTAGTACTGCATAGTAGCACATACAACCATCGGTGCCATAGCTAGCGGGTTGTTTTAAGATCTACAGTGGCACACCAAGGTCCCCAAGGTCCTGGCCAAAGGTACAGGACTCCTTGCTCGTGCTGAAAAACAACAATATTATATTGTACAGTTCTTTCACATTCTCTCTCATCTAACGCTATGGGGGGGGGGGGGGGGGGGGGACGTTTCATGGCCATGTCCTCGTTGTGGATAATGATCCTTTCTGTACTGCATGTGGTCCAGCTAAGACAGACGCAGACTTCAAGGCGTTCCTAGCAGAGAGGAACCCTAAACAGCAGCACTCCTCCACCCTGGAGTCCTACCTGATCAAACCCATCCAGAGAGTCCTGAAGTACCCACTGCTACTGAGAGAGCTGTACTCACTGACTGACCCTGAGAGTGAAGAACACTATCACCTGAATGGTAAGGAGGGAGGTCTGGATGGAGGGAGGGAGGAAGGGAGAGAGAGAGGGTGGGGTTGGGTGTGTGTGAGTCCTGAAGGACCCACTGCTGCTGAGGGAGATGTACTCAGTCACCGACCCAGACAGAGGATCACCAACATCTACTTCTATGTGATGGTGAACGACATGGAAGAGTGTGTGTGTGTGTGTGATTGAATGTGTGTGTGTGTGTGTGATGGTGTTGCGTGCATCGTGTTGTCACGGTTTGTAACATCTGCTTTCCTCCTCGTCTTCCTCAGTTGCGATGAAGGCCATGAACAAGGTGGCCAGTCACATCAATGAGATGCAGAAGCTTCATGAGGAGTATGGAGCAGTGTTCGACCAGCTCATCAATGAACAGACTGCAGACAAGAAGGAGGTAATCATCCCCATCATCACAATAGTCATAAATACTGGGCTCCCGAGTGGCGCAGCGGTCTAAGGTCACTGCATCTCAGTGCTTGAGGCGTCACTACAGACCCCCTGGTTCGATTCCAGGCTGTATCACAATCCGGACGTGATTGGGAGTCCCATAGGGCGGCGCACAATTGGCCCGGGTTTGGCCGGTGTAGGCCGTCATTGTAAATAAGAATTTGTTCTTAACTGACTTGCCTAGTTAAATAAAGGTTAAATAAAATAAAAAATTAAAAGTCTATTTCTATGGTTTAGCTTATTTTTAACACATATTCATGATTATTAGTCCTTAAAACAATAATGTATTATTTCTATGTAAATCGCAGATTTTCACCTTCTAACAAAATTATATTATTATTAAAATATATCCTAATGTAAGTCTTGAATGCCATATCCACTAGGATTTCCATTCGAGTTGTTCTAATTGATCCATCTCTGTGTGCTTGTCTCAGGTGACTGACCTGTCCATGGGAGATCTTCTCCTCCACTCCACCGTGGTGTGGATCAATCCTCCAGCCTCCCTGGTCAAGGGCAAAAAGGACCCTGAGCTGGCTACCTTCGGTGGGGTACACTCCTACTAGACACTGGGGATCCATATAGGGCCTATTACTAAGGGTCTCCTTCTTAAGGCCTTTGCAGTCTGTACCATTTTAACCGTCTTATGCCACCATCTTGCCGTCTCATACAACATGTTCACGTCGTGGTCAAATTCTCAGGTCGTAAAACGAGTGTCGGACGTCTTGGCTCGTTCAGTGTGACAGGGTCTAGGTCTGCCGATTTTAGTACATTTACATTTACATTTTAGTCATTTAGCAGACGCTCTTATCCAGAGCGACTTACAGGTACCACTACGTGCGGTCGTAGGCTGACAGTGCCTTTATCGTGTAGTGTAGCTGGTGTTATGAGCCGATCCCGGTGACTGACAAATAGATCCCGGTGACTGACAAATAGATCCAGGTGACTTACCAATAGATCCTGGTGACTTACCAATAGATCCCTGTGACTGACAAATAGATCCCGGTGACTGACAAATAGATCCCGGTGTCATAGATATGGTGTCATTTCACGGGGCACTGAATAATACAGTGTTGCTGTGATCAAACAGTGCCTGGACACTCTATGGTACAAACAGCCCTGAACAGGAAAAACTATAGATTGTGTGTCCTTAAAACCAGGTTCCAGTCTACTCACTAGAGTCCCTAGAATACAAAAACAGGTGAATTTGAACAAAAGGTCATAGGAAGCTTTATGTTGACGTTTGAACGGTGGGACACACGTTAGCGCCATTGGACAGCTACCATTTTAGAATGTTGTCAGCCTATCGCCAGCCTCTGACATCATAATACGTGGCCTAAAAATGTAGTCATGTGATTTCATATTGTTCTCTTTTTAAGGCCAACGTAAAGAGAGAACATTCCTACCTTTCTCTCGAATAAAACCGTTAAATAACCAGTAGGGGTTTCTACTAACATATTATGTTCTTGACGTTCATTTACTTAAGCTCCAACCATTTCTCAATGTGCTCAACCTTTTATAATATTATTTATTTAATATAAAGTAAAATTCTCTTTAGATTATTCCCCCCATGTAGTTATATACACTGAGTGTACAAAACATTAAGAACACCTGCTCTTTCCATGACAGACTGACCAGAATGAATCCAGGTGAAAGCTATGATCCCTTATTGATGTCACTTGTTAAATCCACTTCAATCAGTGTAGATGAAGGGGAGGAGACAGGTTAAAGAAGGATTTTTAAGACTTGAGACATTTGAGACATAGATGGTGTATGTGTGCCATTCAGAGGGTGAATGGGCAAGACAAAATATTTAAATGCCTTTGAACGGGGTGTGGTAGTAGGTGCCAGGTGCACCGGTTTGAGTGTCAAGAACTGCAACACTGCTGGGTTTTTCACGTTCAACAGTTTCATGTGTGTATCAAGAATGGTCCACCACCCAAAAGACATCCAGCCAACTTGACACAACTGTGGGAAGCATTGAGTCAACATGGGCCAGCATCCCTGTGGAACGCTTTCGACACCTTGTAGAGTCCATGTCCTGACGAATTGAGGCTGTTCTGAGGGCAAAAGGGGAGGTGCAACTCAATATTGTGAAGGTGTTCTTAATGTTTTGTACACTCAGTGTATATTTTTGTACATAATTTTAACATTATGCACTCTGCAAAACTGCAAAAAATATTGATTTCGTATCATACACATAACGTTTTACAGCTGACTTTTATTTTGAAGGCAAATCCAAAAACCAGAAGTCTTAAACGTGGATAGGATCCAGCTAGTGTTGCTGACACATGCCCAGATGTTGACGTGGCCCACGTCTGCTGACATAGCCTCACAAGCCAATCGCAGAATGTGACTGCAAAACGGAAGCAAATCGTACAATCTGGCCAGGTTGATATCAAGATCTTAATTTATTAGGGAACACCGCGCTGTGTGACGTGATGATCGTAAAAGAATAAATCCGATGTACAGTCTGCAAAGGCCTTTAATAATGAAATAACATTATCTCAAAGTAGTGAGAAAGGCTCGAGAGAGAGAGAGAGAGAGAGAGAGAGAGAGAGAGAGAGAGAGAGAGAGAGAGAGAGAGAGAGAGAGAGAGAGAGAGAGAGAGAAGAGAGAGAGAGTATTTGATTCCCTGCTGATTTTGTAAGTTTGCCACTGACAAAGCAATGATCAGTCTATAATTTTAATGGTAGGTTTATTTGAACAGTGAGAGACAGAATAACAAAACAAAAATCCAGAAAAACGCATGTCAAAAATGTTATAAATTGATTTGCATTTTAATGAGGGAAATAAGTATTTGACCCCTCTGCAAAACATGACTTAGTACTTGGTGGCAAAACCCTTCTCTTAGGGTTATGTATTAGCGGTTAGGCTTATCTTAGGGTTATGTGTTAGTGGTTAGGCTTCTCTTAGGGTTATGTGTTAGTGGTTAGTCTTCTCTTAGGGTTATGTGTTAGTGGTTAGTCTTCTCTTAGGGTTATGTGTTAGCGGTTAGGCTTATCTTAGGGTTATGTGTTAGTGGTTAGTCTTCTCTTAGGGTTATGTGTTAGTGGTTAGTCTTCTCTTAGGGTTATGTGTTAGTGGTTAGTCTTCTCTTAGGGTTATGTGTTAGTGGTTAGTCTTCTCTTAGGGTTATGTGTTAGTGGTTAGTCTTCTCTTAGGGTTATGTGTTAGTGGTTAGCGGTTAGGCTTCTCTTAGGGTTATGTGTTAGTGGCTTCTGCAAGGGAGATTTTCTCAAATGCTAACCCCTAAAAGCATTCATGTTGTTCATAAATCTTCTTTAGTAAATGCTTTAAAATGTGGTATGAAATTAAAAAAGCTCTTCTAATGCTCTTCCCGTTCCTCCCCTCCCCCCTCTCTCTCTCTCTCCATCTCTCCCTCCTCTTTGTCTCCTTCTCTCCCCAGTGTTCAAGACAGCGGTGGTGTTTGTATACAGAGATCGCTCCAAGCAGAGGAAGAAGCTTGTGAGTGCTCCTTTGCCCGTTACTTTACTGCTGGGGGCCTGGGGTTCCCAGAGGGGCTTTTAAAAGGGGAGAAGGCTTTTAGTTTTGAACAGGCACAATGAGGTCACCCGCAGAGTGGATCTAGGTTAACGCTACTCTTATGTCTTCATGTGAAAGTAAAAGGTTGTGTAATTTGGCTTTCTGTCCACTCCATAAAGTAGAGGGGAACTGTTTTCTTAGATACAGTCTCGTTAAACACACACTTGCCTGTAGCAATGCTTGCTCTAAAACAGTGTGTGTGTGTGTGTGTGTGTTTGTTTTTCAGGGAGGGTCTCATCGTGCTTCCGTGTCAGATGACAGAGATCCGTTCCGTTTCCGTCACATGATCTCAACAGACGCCCTACAAGTCCGCGCCATCACAAGTATATCTTCTTAACCCCCTCTTTCTCTTCCTCTAACCTCCTCCCTCCACATTCTCTGTTTCTAACCTCCTCCCTCCACATTTCCTCTACCTCCTCCCTCCACATTTCCTCTACCTCCTCCCTCCACATTTCCTCTACCTCCTCCCTCCACATTTCCTCTACCCTCCTCCCTCCACATTTCCTCTACCTCCTCCCTCCACATTTCCTCTACCTCCTCCCTCCACATTTCTGCGTTCCTCTCTGCACTCCTTCCTCTTACCCTCTGTTAGAGGCCTTCCGAAATGGACATGGGGCTTCCACATCCGCACCCGATATGCATGAATTGATTATTTTTTTAGTATACAGACCCCGTTCCGATTGGACACGAGGACAACTAGATCCGTTCCGTATAGACCTGGTCGGATCCAGATCCGGGTCCGATCCTGAGTGAGGGAAGCAGCAGAAAAGTAATTGTTTAAGCTACTTTATTTAGCGGAGCTGATAAAGCGCGAGAGGAGGGAGAGAGAGGTGGCGCTCTAGTTTGGCGGGGAGGGAGGGGCCATACTGTGAGGGAGTGACACAGGGAGGAGGGAGGGAGCAGGGAGCCAACCAAGCCGACTCGCGCTACAGTAGACTAATAGCTGCCTTGGTTATTTATCATCAAATATGATTACGTGGTACCTGTCTTGACTGCATCAAACCGGGAGAAGCTAGTTAAGCTAGCTAACGTTAGCTAGCTGGGCTAATTGAGGCTGCAGTGCATGCGCTTTCTCATCCTACAGTTACAAATAACTCCATTCAGAATACCTGTTGTCTCTTGGTCGTTGAAGCCTATCCTACTCCTTTAACTTTTAATTCCATCATTAGATATCTCCTCTCTCGGGTATTCGGGTACAGGTGGATCCGTGTAGACCTCTATCCTCCATACTTAAGCCTTCCTCTTACTGTCCTTGTCCCTGTCCCCTCCTTCCTCTTACTGTCCTTGTCCCTGTCCCCTCCTTCCTTTTACCTGTCCCTGTCCCTGTCCCCTCCTTCCTCTTACTGTCCCTGTCCCTGTCCCCTCCTTCCTTTTACCTGTCCTACTCCATCCATCATTCTGCCTCTCATCTCTCTACCTCTCCTTCTTCCACTAGATAGTAGGGATTTAAGGCAACGTTGATAACTCTCTCTCTCTCTCTCTCTCTCTCTCTCGCTCTCGCTCTCGCTCTCTCTCTCGCTCTCTCTCTCTCGCTTTCTGTTCTCTCTCGCTCGCTGCTCTCTGCTCTCTCTTTCTCCTTCCCTCCCTCCCTCTCTCCCTCTCTTTCTCTCCTTGCTAGACTCCGAGGGTACAGCGGTATGTGAGATAGTTCACGTGAGGTCAGAGTCTGAGGGGAGACCAGAGAGAACCTTTCACCTGTGCTGCAGGTGAGCTCTGACATCACAACTGGGTGGCTGACGTCATGCCGAGAACACATTTGAAATACATATCTGTTCAAACATATAGCTATTTTCAATTAAATGAAACATATTCATGTATAAATTCAATAAAATACAGAAAAACACATATTGCAGCGCCATTACATATGTGTGTGTTTACATGAATGTGTGTTTTGTGTGTGTGTTTACATGAATGTGTGTGCTTGTGTGTGTGTTTACATGAATGTGTGTGCTTGTGTGTGTGTTTACATGAATGTGTGTTTTGTGTGTGTGTGTTTACATGAACGTGTGTTTTGTGTGTTTACATGAATGTGTGTTTTGTGTGGTTATGTGTGTTTACATGAATGTGTGTTGTGTGTGTGTGTCTAATATATATTTGTGTGTGTGTGTGTGTGTGTGTGTGTGTGTGTGTGTGCGTGCGTGCATGTCCAAGTGTGTCTAATATACTTGGGTGTATGTTTCTAATATATTTTGTGTGTATGTGTCTCTAACGTGTCCCTGTCCCTGACCCCAGTTCTGTGGACAGTAAGAAGGACTTATTGAAGGCAGTCCACCTCATCCTGAGAGATAAACAACGACGTCAGCTGATGAAGACTGACTCTCTACCCCCCAACCAGCAGTACGTCCCCTTCGGAGGCAAACGCCTCTGTAACCTGAAGGGAAACAGACCAGCCATGAACAGAGCAGGTAGATGATGCCTCTGTAACCTGAAGGGAAACAGACTAGCCATGAATCAAATCAAATCAAATCAAATTGTATTGGTCACATGCGCCGAATACAACAGGTGCAGACATTACAGTGAAATGCTTACTTACAGCCCTTAACCAACAGTGCATTTATTTTTAACAAAAAAAGTAAAAATAAAACAACAACAAAAAAAGTGTTGAGAAAAAAAGAGCAGAAGTCAAATAAAATAACAGTAGGGAGGCTATATATACAGGGGGGTACCGGTGCAGAGTCAATGTGCGGGGGCACCGGCTAGTTGAGAGAGTTGAAGTAATATGTACATGTGGGTAGAGTTAAAGTGACTATGCATAAATAATTAACAGAGTAGCAGCAGCGTAAAAAGGATGGGGTGGGGGGGCAGTGCAAATAGTCCGGGTAGCCATGATTAGCTGCATTTTCATTTGTTTATGTACTTTGGTGTACTAACTCTCTCATCTCTCTCTCCTCTCTCCCTTTCTCTCTCTCCTCTCTCCTTCTCCTTCTCTCTCTCCTCTCTCATTCTCTCTCTCCTCTCTCCCTCATCTGTCCTTCTCTCTCGCTCTCCTCCCTCTATCTTCTCTCTCCTCTCCTCTCCTCTCATCTCTCTCGTCTCTCTCTCCCTCTCTCTCATCTCTCTCCCCTCTCTCATCTCTCTTCTGTCCCTCTCTCCCTCTCTCTCATCTCTCGCCTGTCCCTCTCTCCCTCTCTCTCATATCTCTCCCTCTCTCTCTCTCCCCTCTCCCCCCTCTCTCTCCTCTTCCCCCTCTTCCTCTCTCTTCCCTGTCCCCCTTCTCTCCTTCCTCTCATCTCTCTTCCCGCCCTCCTCCCCTCCTCTCCTCTCCTCTCCTGTCCCTCTCCATCTCTCTCACTGTCCCTCTCTCCCTCCTCTCCCTTCCCCTCTCCTTCCTCTCCCTCTCCTCTCTCTCTCTCTCCCCTCTCTCCATCTCTCTCCTTCCCCCTCTCCCCCTCTCTCTCTCTCTCTCCCCCTCTCTCATCTCTCTCCTGTCCCCCTCTCCCTCTCTCTCACTCTCTCCCCTCTCATCTCTCCTCCTTTCCCTCTTTCCCCTCTCTCCATCTCTCTCTTCTCCTTTCCCTCTTTCATTCCCCCTCTCATCTCCTCCTTACCCTCTCCCTCTCCCTCATCTCTCTCCCCCTCTCTCATCTCTCTCCTGCCCCCTCTCCCCCTCTCTCATCTCTCTCCCCCTCTCTCATCTCTCTCCTGTCCCCCTCTCCCTCTCTCTCATCTCTCTCCCCTCTCATCTCTCTCCTCTCCCTCTTTCCCTCTCTCCCATCTCTCTCCTGTCCCTCTTTCCCTCTCTCCCATCTCTCTCCTGTCCCTCTCTCCCTCTCTCTCCTGTCCCTCTTTCCCTCTCTCCCATCTCTCTCCTGTCCCTCTCTCCTGTCTCTCTCTCCCATCTCTCTCCTGTCCCTCTCTCCCTCTCTCTCCTGTCCCTCTCTCCCTCTCTCCCATCTCTCTCCTGCCCCTCTCTCCCCTCTCATCTCTCTCCTGTCTCTCTCTCCCATCTCTATCTCATCTCTCTCCCTCCCTCTAGTCTCAGCCCCGTCTCGGACCCTTGGTCGCAGGAAGCTCGTTAGGAACCGATTAACCATTGACACCGACCTCGTTCTCCATGGCAACCATGAAGACTCTGACTCTAACTCCTCCCACTCCACCCATGACTATTCCCACCAGCCTCAACCTTCCCATAACCCCCTGCTTCCTACCCAGAAGCCTCAGCAGCGGACGCTGTTGGCGACTGGAGGCGACACGGACCGCTGGGTGGAGGAACAGTTCGACCTGGATTGCTACGTCGACCAGGGAGGAGTGACGGGGGAAGAGAGGAGGATGGAGGGAAGGATGGAGGGAGGGATGGAGGGAAGGATGGAGGGAGGGATGGAGGTGAAAGAGACTGATATTCTGAGCGACGATGACGAGTACTGTAAGTCAGTCAGGGCTTCATCAGCCGAACCCAGCCTACTAGAGGAGAGGAAAGAGGGAGTGGTGGAGGAGGAGGATGAGGAGGAGGAGAGGAGCCAAGACCAGGACAGAGGGGTAGAAGAGGAGGAGGAAGATGTGGAGGGAAAGAAAGATGAGAGGAGACAGAACGGAGAGTTGGAGGAAGAGAGGAGGAGCTCCCAGGGTGTTCTCCAAGAGGACGAGGGGGGTGAAAGGAGTAAGGTACAGGTAGACTCTGACTCCCCCTCTAAAGACAATGCCTCCCCCGTCCCTCCCACCTCACGGTCCCCCGCCCCCCCGGTGAAGCTCACACCCCTAAGGAAGCAATGGGCCACGGAGGGCGTGGCCGGGAAGCAGTGTTCCGTGGAGGGAGTGGCCGAGAAGGACCACTGTGATGTCATCTGGGTGCGACGCGAAGACTACGCCAATGGAGGGAACAACGACATCTTCTGAGACTGAGGGAGGGAGGGAGCGAGCGATGAACAGCAGACAGAGAGGAAGAGAAGAGAGGGATAAACGCCTCCTAGGGGGAAGGGGGTATAACAGATGGGATAAAACAGACGCTCTAAGGGTGTCTCCACTAGGAACCAAACAGAAGCAAACAGGGAGGGACTAACCTGAACTTGTCCAATAAGAAACACTCGTTTTCATTGCAAAACGTTTTTCCATTACAAAATGATTCGCTACGGTGTGCACTACTGAATACAACCCAGGCCATCGCCCACCTTGTCCTGACAATCCTACTGACTTCTCCTTCCATCGCCCACCTTGTCCTGACAATCCTACTGTCTTCTCCTTGGTGCCAGACTCACAGTCTCACAATGCCTCAACTGAACTGCTATCCGATGGGAGACAGAGGCCACACAAACACACACACTGGACTATGACGTCTTCACTGAACTATGATCTTGTTGCCAAAAAAAAAAAAAAAATGTATATTTTTCAAAAAGCAGGAATAATGGGTCATATTTTTGCTTCTCTGACTTAGAAACTGTGTTTGTAACACTCAAGGGCTGTGTGTAACTTCTAAACCTTGTCTGCGTCTCAAATGCTACCTTATACCCTATTTAGTGCACTACGTTTGACCATAGGGAGCCTAAACCTTGTCTTCAGAGGCTATAGACTGCTGTGTAATAGTACATTGAGATAGTCAGAGGACTCCATCTCTATGGTAGACAACCCTGCTAGCTTTACCGCACTTATACTGTTCTGCTCTATATCGGCTGCTGACAGCACTCAGAGCAACTGTCCAATCATAACGCATTGTCTTTTCTAAAATAACATCCTTTTTATTAACACTCACTTTTCCCAACATTTGTTTTCAAATCTTGATTTTGTTGACTGTGGAGAAATCTTTTTTTTGTTTGTTTTTTTGTTTTTGTTTTGTTTACATGACATCCAGTGTTATTCACTCCCTGACCCTCGCATGGGACAGGATAATATGACTTCCTGTTTTACTTGAATTTTCTTTTGGAGTTTTGTTTGACGGAACGCCTGCTGTTACTGACTGCAAAGCAGGATCAATGAGTTACCCAGCTAACGTTGACAAACAACCAGAAATAACCATCATTTTTCTGGTTCATTAAGAAAAGCTAAACTTGGATATGTGTTTTTTGGTTCTCGAGTCAATTTGACCATGCAATTTCAAGCTTATCTTTAAAGTAAGAAGTTATTTTCAGAATATTTAAGTAAGCAAGTAAGCTGGCTAACTCAATAAATATGCTATGTAGTATACCCACCTGGACTGCCGATGTCGACCCTACCACTATGTCACGCTGCCTTTAAAATGCTCCTCAGATCTGGGAAAGATGAGGTTCCGACTGGGAAGTAGCTACTTGAACGACCCCATCCCAAGTTGGAATTCCAAGTGGGAAAGTTGGAGGTAATTTTGATATCCCTAGTTTACGAGTTGTGATGTTTCGTCACTGACTTTTCTCACCTTTTTCAACCAAAAGATAAAAGCAAATAAACATTTCTGACATCGTCTAACATACTGTATCAATGTGGATAATGTAGCTAGTTGACAACATTATCAACATTAAGAAAGCTAGCCAACTTTATCATTAGCAATGTTAGCTAGCTCAACTAACTAGCTAAAATCTTATTGGTTGAAGAATTGTTTCCAAATTCAAAAGCAATTGAATAAAGTAATGTCAGACTTTCTAACTGGGAAATGTTTCAGTTCCAACAAGCATTTGAAGGCAGCATTAGCTTCTGACTAACTCTTAAAGGAGCTTTCCTTAGCTTCTGTTTCCTCCTGTGGTTGGACGACAAGTCACAATCAAGGCAGCAAATAAAGCAAAGACAAAAACCTTTTTTCGAAACACTCAGACACCTGTTCTTCTTTTTTGGTTTTGATTTTGCACTTTCGAAGACCCGCCCCATCAGTCCTCCGAAACAAAAACAAAAACAACCGCTGGGGCCACTCTGCTGAGTGGAAATAGAAACTAAAGAGTGCTCCTTTTAAAGTAGAACAAACCTTCCCTGGTTGCCAGATATGTGTGGTTGCCAGATATGTGTGGTTGCCAGATATGTGTGGTTGCCAGACATGTGTGGTGTACTACATAGCAGGATCAATGAGTTAACCAGCTAACTTCCCTAAATATTCTCAAATAACTTTATTTATTTAGAAAGACAAGCAACTTACTGTCTATTCCCGACCAGTGGTCTATTTCCTATTTCTCACATAACATGAATTCTACTGTCCCCACTAGGAGGGCTACTGCTAAACTACTGTGCTTTCTCTCCCACACTGTCCTGTTCTACGTCTATCTAATACTCATCGCACAAACACAGAACACTGTACGTCTCTAAAACTAACACAGACCAGTGCACCTTTATGGATGAATTCAAAACTGCACTTATAATCAACCACGGGACAGAATTACATGGAACTGTGAGTCTTTCTGATCAACACAACACATATACAGGATTAAAACAGGACCTGGGGTTTTACCTACAACAAGAAACACTCTGGCTCCAGTTATAGCTTATATATATATAACAAGGGCCCCGAGTTGTTACTCGTTAGTTAACACAATCATGCGGATAAAACTCCTGGCTCCTAGTTAGCAATGAGACCTATATGCAGGATGTTCAGGAAAAACATAGGTTGTTGTTGTTGTTGTTGTTGTTGTTGTTGTTGAATTGATAGTTGTTAGGGTTAGCACACATGGCAAATAAATGACCTATGCTACTACTACCCCTGAGATTGGATGAGTCCCAAACCGAACCCTACCCCCTATATAGGGCACTACTTTTGCCCAGTTCCCCATAGGGCTCTGGTCTAAAGTAGTGCACTAAATAGGGGATAGGGTTCCGTTTGGGATGCATCCATTGTGAAGTACAATCGCTGGTCTAGAGGTGAATCTTGTGACTTCCTTTTGACTTTCCCCCTCTTTTGTATTTTGCATTTTTAAAACTGTGTTCGTACATAGGACTGTGGATTACCATTAATATAACTATTATTATTACTATTGTTATTATTATTATTAAAACAATTACATTTCTTATCGGATTTTGGTATTTTGTCTTTTTTTGTGTTTCTCAATAATATCTATCTTGTGTTTCCGTCCTGTTGATGTCTCTTTATTTAGATAGACCTGTTTATTAAAGGATGAAAAGACGAGGATGAGGCAGTCTGACAGTTTAGAAGGCTTTAAAGGATGAAAAGACGAGGATGAGGCAGTCTGACAGTTTAGAAGGCTTATTACAGTTTCTCTATCGGGTACAAGCATCTTTTGGAACTGTGGTTAAACTGACCTATAGCAAACCAACAAAAGGCAAATGAACTGTGGTTAAACTGACCTATAGCAAACCAACAAAAGGCAAATGAACTGTGGTTAAACTGACCTATAGCAAACCAACAAAAGGCAAATGAACTGTGGTTAAACTGACCTATAGCAAACCAACAAAAGGCAAATGAACTGTGGTTAAACTGACCTATAGCAAACCAACAAAAGGCAAATGAACTGTGGTTAAACTGACCTATTGCAAACCAACAAAGGCAAATGAACTGTGGTTAAACTGACCTATAGCAAACCAACAAAAGGCAAATGAACTGTGGTTAAACTGACCTATAGCAACCCAACAAAAGGCAAATGAACTGTGGTTAAACTGACCTATAGCAAACCAACAAAAGGCAAATGAACTGTGGTTAAACTGACCTATAGCAAACCAACAAAAGGCAAATGAACTGTGGTTAAACTGACCTATAGCAAACCAACAAAAGGCAAATGAACTGTGGTTAAACTGACCTATAGCAAACCAACAAAAGGCAAATGAACTGTGGTTAAACTGACCTATAGCAAACCAACAAATGGTCAAATGAACTGTGGTTAAACTGACCTATAGCAAACCAACAATGGTCAAATGAACTGTGGTTAAACTGACCTATTGCAAACCAACAATGGTCAAATGAACTGTGGTTAAACTGACCTATAGGTTAACCAACAATGGTCAAATGAACTGTGGTTAAACTGACCTATAGCAAACCAACAATGGTCAAATGAACTGTGGGTTAAACTGACCTATTGCAACCACAATGGTCAAATGAACTGTGGTTAACGGACCTATAGCAAACCAACAATGGTCAAATGAACTGTGGTTTAAACTGACCTATTGCAAACCAACAATGGTCAAATGAACTGTGGTTAAACGACCTATTGCAAACCAACATGGTCAATGACTGTGGTTAAACTGACCTATAGCAAACCAACAAGGGTCAAATGAACTGTGGTTAAACTGACCTATAGCCAACCAACAATGGTCAAATGAACTGTGGTTAAACTGACCTATAGCAACCAACAATGGGTCAAATGAACTGTGGGTTAAACTGACCTATAGCAACCAACAATGGTCAAATGAACTGTGGTTAAACTGACCTATTGCAAACCAACAATGGTCAAATGAACTGTGGTTAAACTGACCTATTGCAAACCAACAATGGTCAAATGAACTGTGGTTAAACTGACCTATAGCAAACCAACAATGGTCAAATGAACTGTGGTTAAACTGACCTATAGCAAACCAACAATGGTCAAATGAACTGTGGTTAAACTGACCTATAGCAAACCAACAATGGTCAAATGAACTGTGGTTAAACTGACCTATAGCAAACCAACAATGGTCAAATGAACTGTGGTTAAACTGACCTATAGCAAACCAACAATGGTCAAATGAACTGTGGTTAAACTGACCTATAGCAAACCAACAAAAGGCAAATGAACTGTGGTTTAACTGACCTATTGCAAACCAACAAAAGGCAAATGAACTGTGGTTAAACTGACCTATAGCAAACCAACAAAAGGCAAATGAACTGTGGTTAAACTGACCTATAGCAAACCAACAAAAGGCAAATGAACTGTGGTTAAACCTGACCTATAGCAAACCAACAATGGTCAAATGAACTGTGGTTAAACTGACCTATAGCAAACCAACAATGGTCAAATGAA